GTGCCACATTTTCTTAATCCAATCTGTCACTGATGGACATTTGGGTTGATTCCAAGTCTTTGCTATTGTGAATAGTGCTGCAATAAACATACGTGTGCATGTGTCCTTATAGCAGCATAATTTGTAATCCTTTGGGTATATACCCAGTAATGGGATGGCTGGGTCATATGGTACATCTAGTTCTAGATCCTTGAGGAATCGCCATACTGTTTTCCATAATGGTTGAACTAGTTTACACTCCCACCAACAGTGTAAAAGTGTTCCTATTTCTCCACATCCTCTCCAGCACCTGTTGTTTCCTGACTTTTGAATGATCGCCATTCTAACTGGTGTGAGATGGTATCTCATTGTGGTTTTGATTTGCATTTCTCTGATGGCCAGTGATGATGAGCATTTTTTCATGTGTCTGTTGGCTGTATGAATGTCTTCTTTTGAGAAATGTCTGTTCATATCCTTTGCCCACTTTTGGATGCTAACTATATTTTTTAACTATGATTTGTGGTCAAAAAAATTTCCAAAGCATTCATTTAGATAACCCAGGCCCTGACTTGGGTGCTAGAAAACCACCCAGAGATAAATTGTTTGAAACTAAAGGACTCGTCTAGAAGTAAGAATGTAGTGAGTCCAGTTCAACTGGGTGTTAGGCACTAACACAAAACAAATACTTCTTAATATTTCATCCAGGAATAAATAACCGCTGCCAACCAAAGGCTCCAGAAAGCATCATTTTACGGTTGCACCATGAGGTGCTGACAGTTTCACACAAGTATGCTGCTTTTTCCCTAATGCGTGCTTTCCTCCACTTGAGATTTTAGGATCATATGGTTGCGGAGACTACTTATCTAGTCACTACAGAAGCACATCACAGTACCAGAGTCATAGCTAGGAAATCTAACCCCCTCCTTTGCCAGATGGACAAACTGAGGCTTAGAGTGATGAAATGCCCCAGGAAATGCCAAGGTCAATGCCGAGTAGAGCTGAGATCAGACTCCCAGTCCCAGTTCTTTTCCAAGAATCCTTAAATTAAAGGCACAGGAGAGCATAAAGCAGCACTCCCTGCCAAGAGACAAGCAGATAACATTTTCTTTTCTTTTTTTGGTCTTACTGGTTAGTTTATTACACTTCTCAATTGATTTTTACTAAGGACTAAATAAAATATTTGGATGAAGAGGCCCCCTCTCCTTAAATTTTAAAAAAGTTTTTAAAGAGTTAATAAGACTGCTTGCTGAAGTTGCACAAGGGGAGGTTTTTTGTTTGTTTGTTTGTTTTTGTTTGTTTCTCTATCAGGGAATTTCTAGGTTAATTGTAACACTCTCCTTGGGAGACCTACTCATATAAAAATAAAGCAGTGTGATCTCTTTTTGAATTCTTTCTATTCTGACAATAGTTGAGAAGAAAAGCTTGGTAAGGTGGTCATTCTCTTCTTAGATAAGTATATACTGTACACAATTTAGTTTAGTGTTACAGATATCAACAAATCACCAACTGTAGTAGTCTTAAACCACAATCTACTTATTGATTTCTAAATGCCACGAAGTGTTGTAATTTCCCCCAAACTGTTATTTTTAATGACATGAAGATGATTCTCCATGCTTTCTCAAAGCCAAATGCAAAGTGAAAACAGACAGCCAGAGAAAGATGCTAAGCAAGTAAAAACCCACATTTCCTTTTCTAAAGTTTCGATTTCATTTGTTTGGAAAAGGCTGTCTCTCTAAAGTTTCTTCTAGCTACTTAAATCCTACGATTTTTTACCTATATTTCTTTTTCAAAGTAAGATTAGCAACACTTGAGGTGTAAGACAGATGGTCAGGATTTCATGATTTAAAAATCACTCATTTTAAGAGTGTCGGAATTGCCACCCTAACTTTCCCATAGTGTTGCAATATCTGGATGAATATATATTGATTAAGATCTGTGAGGTCCTGGACAGACTCTGGTTTGATAATACAAAAATAGGAAATTCAGAACTGTCAGGAGCTCTGGGATCACTTGAAGCTAATCCTACTCTAGTAAGCCTCCTGAAATAAGCTTTCCCATAGTGATCTTTCCTTAAAAAGTCAGTCTGTTTCTGACCTTTAGAGACACAGAGGCAGCCTGTTTCCAGAAAGATTTGCTAGCATGAAGAGTGCTTCATGTTTTGAATTCGGAGTAAAGGTCTAATTTTCCACAATTATACAGGACAAGTTCCCTCTTTGGGACCTTGAAATCCACAATTATTACCACCAAGTGACGAGTCTCAAGTGCGCAGTGAAAAGTGTATTAATTTTATGCTATTAGAGACTTCACACACTCAAAAATTAGTTTAGATGGGTTGTAATTTTGCTGACTTCAGAGCCCTCACTCCCTCACTCTGAAGAGTCCTCAACTTTCAGAACTGTGCTTGGCACTGTAAAACTTTGATTTGCATTTCTTATGAAAATTGTGCAAATGTTATAAAATACGTGGTACATAAAACTCTATCAGGAGCTCAACTGAACTGCACCAAGGTCTAATTATCAGTCAAACTAATGGTTGAAGCAGAGAACTGAGATCGTGCAATTTCATAATAAAAAGAATTAATGGTAAATGAACCAATACTATGAGGATACATAAGACGAAATAAAATTTTAACTTTTTTTTTTTTCAGGAAATAGTCAAGTAGTCATGGCCACTTTGAATCATAGTAATTTAGAGTTGGAAAAAAAAGGCCCTTGAAGTAGAAAAAAATCCAACCCCCTTGTTCCAGCTCAACTTAAATACCTTTGCTGACAGAATCGCACAACATCCTCAGGTCCATTTCAATTCAAAAAGTGATCACCAGTCATTGCTTAATTCATTCAAGGAACATATAATGCCTATCTCCTTTGTGCTAGGCATTGGGGGTCAGATTTCTATATATTGGGATAAAAATCTCACCCCCCTCTTAACAATTGTTTGTGCTCTGCCCTCAGGACTTAGAGAGAACACAGCTAACTATGTTGTATAAATTGGCCCTGAATAAAGTCATAATATAAAAAGGCAGTTCCCCATATCGCCCTCGCCAGTACCTTTCTCCCCTATAGTTCTCTCTCCCACAGCCTCCTTCTCCACACCCTACCACCAACACAGGCCTTTTTATCCAGAAAAAGAACCCTGAAATCTTTCATCCAACGGGTTCAGTACTTTTTGCTATCAGAGTCACTCTTCCTGCAGGCACTAATTTCCAGATTCCTCAAAATGTGAGGACACTGAGTGCTGAGTTCTGAACTCAAGCCAATTGGCTCCGTTGTCTACCCTTAATCAGGACATTCTAGTGCTTCTTAATGAATGGGAGTTTTCTTGCCTCCTCTATCTAAAATGCCCTTTCCTCCACAGGAAAGGCTTTTTCACAAGAACTCCTACTCACCCTGCAAGACCCATCTGTAGAAGAGATTGTTGGTGTTCTCTAACCACAAGCAGGAGGTTCATTGGCAACCCCAGAGGACAATGTTTGTACCTGTTTGTTAACTCCTAGTTAGGGAATGATTTCCCATAATTGCCTAATAGAAATTACCTAGTTACTGAAAATCTCTGTATGAATGCTAAGATTACTGACTTGTGTTGATATGCTTATAAAGAACTTATGAAGATACAAAGGTCTGCATGGGACTGGGTCCCACCAGGAGAGAGGTCCCTCCTGGATTTCATCACTTGAAGAGGCTGCCACTAAACAAAGGAGCCCCTGCTAAGCTGTAGACTAAACATAAGTCTTGACCAAAACAGAGTGGAGATATCTGAAAGGAAGCTCCTAGGCAGGGAATGCTAAAATGGTATTCACTCAGAAAAGACAGTCCAAAAAGAAGCAGGGAAATCAAGTATCCAAAGTGTCAAAGTTTGGTATGCCCTTTGGGTATATAACCCAACTACAACTAAGGCAAAGATAGACTCAGACAAGGGTGGAGAGTTCCTGAAACAGGCTCTGTACTATGGTAGCACCAGAAATCTATATTTGTAAATCAGATTGTATTTATATCTCTTCTATTCCTTTATATTTCCTCCATTGATACTGAGTAAAGTTCAAGGCTGTTTGAACTCAGGTAAAAGGAACTTGAAGGCAAGAGTTTTTATCCACTCTTGGGCTTGAAGACATGAGTATTATCAGGCCACTCTTGAGGGCAGTTTGAGTGAAAGAATCCTCCAAAGGGAGGTAAAATTTAGGGGACAACATGGATTATGGAATCCAGCCATTCTTCTCCATCTGCAAATTCTCTTTCCAGTACTAAATCTTCGAAGTAGTAGTTTTGTTTTTATTAAGCAATGTTCCTCTAAAATTCCTCCACTAAATTGTGAGCATCTTGAAAGGATCTTATAATTTTCATCATTACCATGTACACATGTGACTGGAACACAGTAAGTACTCAAATGTTGGTTGACAGAATAAATGAAGCAATTCATGGACTTTCGGCGTTTCGAAGCACTCTAAAGTCCACCTCGTCCAGTACTTTTCCTACAAGTGTATATTTGTCCACGTAAGGCTTTCATAGGTCATCATATAATTCATTCAACAAATATCAACTAAAAGCCTACAATAGTTAAGATGCTGTGCTTTCTGGAACAGCAACAAAACACATCAGTCACTGATACAACAAATGTGTATTAAGGACCTATTGCATGCCAGGTACCATGTCAGGCCCTAATGATGATACAATGAATAAGACGCACAAAGCTCCTTAGGGAACTCACAGACGAGAAAATAAAATGGACATGAAGCATATACTGTATAACACTGTTTAAAATGGAAAATGTTATGTGTTTTCAAAGGCACACATAAAGGTAATGAAAAAGTCAAAGGTCAAAAAGATAAACCGGGGTTTCATAAGAATTTATGGAACACTGCCATTCAGGTATGGGACATTACTTGCGGCTTTAACCTTAGAGTTCAGGAATGGAGATTACTAGTTTCTAGCCAAAGCAGTGAATGGTAATGGCTTTGTAGGTTGTGATGAAAATCAATATTCCATTTTCATATATTTAGCATTATATCAAGTGACATTAACATTGAATTTTGGAAAGCAAGAAGATAGATCAATTCTTCTAATGAAAACCATAACCAAAACTGAGCTCTAAATAACAAAGTTATGTTCATGTTTGAGTACATGACCCAAAGAAGCAGACTTGTCAACTTGAATAATAAAAAATGTATATTAATAATAATTCCAGACTTATGGGTAAACCTTATTTAACAGTAACTCCATGACAAAATAATTTCTGTTATTTACACTGTAAACTAGGAAAGTGTAAATTAGGCTAAGATATAGCTAAACATTGCATTTCTTTCATCCTATCATAAAATAAAATTTATTCTTCAGTTTCATTCATATACACTACTTCAGCGTCTCCAAACACTTGAAAATATACCCCAGTAAAGCTGTTTACTTCAAGGTAAATGTGGTGAAATGGGAATCAGAAGTTTCAATACTATAATAACAACTTAATATTAAAGGAGCTTAGGCTGGTCTGAAGGTAGTTTTATTATCTCAATTGTTCACAGTCAGTTACAGATTGAACTCCTTGTTCTATTCTTCTCTTCTCACTACCATACTTGACTAGTCTTAAAAAAATAAATAAATAAAATATTAAAGGAGCTTAGGTTTAACTACCTTTCTCCTTTTCTTGATTCCATAAACTTGCATATGAATTTTCCACAGCAGTTAGAAATTGATTAGTTCCATCTCCAGTAGTTACAGACTGGGAAAGTGACATCTACCAATATATTCCTTCAATATATTTTATGGAATATATCCCATAAAAACAATACTGTGACAAAGAATTTCTAGGTCCAGAAGCAGTCTTTTTAATAAAATTTTGCCTTTATGGAAAAAAATCAAACTTTCTTGTAAAGCTTCTCTGCGAATTTCAAAAGGGTCCTACATCCATGTACTCCATTTCAGCCATGAATTTCTTCTGTTCATTGCAGAATGCTTGCTGGTGTATGTTTACAATGTTTTCCATTGGATCTGCATTGGAAATTAATCAGGCGCCATTTGTGTCGAGCATGATGTAGACAAGAATATGTCATTAATATACTTATCCTAATTACACTGAATAATCTAAGACATGAAAAAACCTATCAAGCTCAATTTTTGAGGCCACACACTATGCAAAGTGCTGAAACGACTATAAAGACAGCAATGAGCACTTTGTTGCTTAGCCTCTCAATTTTGAGAGTCACCAAGAAAGGACACTTTACCTCTGCATGATTTAAACTTATATTAAGAAAACTTACCCACTGTAAAACCCCTGTGTTATGTACCTCTACAGTGTTCTTTTTTAAGAATGCTTATATGGATTTTAGCAAAGAAACAATTCCAGATAAATTATCATAACACTATCTTCAAGCAACATTCCTCTAGAAATTAGCTTCATCAGCTTTATTTCTGCAATTATTAAAGGACACTCAGTTAAAGCGAAAACGCAAAACAGGGAGAATATGTGAAGGCAGAACAGCTAGTTCCACTTCTGCAAATTAAGCACAATTAAGTAAAAATAAAGGAAACAGGCAAAGGGAAGGAACTCAAGAGCTATTTGCAGCAGTGATCCGTTACAAGTTCTACGTGCTTCTCCTTGAGTTCCAAGAGATAAGGAGGGGAAAAGAGAGAAGGCACCACACAGAAACCTAAACTTACTCTTGGCACAACTTAGAATATTCATTGAATTCAGCCTAAGATGTCTGGGCTATCTGGATTCGGTGGGAATGTCTGGGAGAAGGCAGTGGCATTTGCTTTCTCCGTTTGAAACCCTGGGAGCTGTAGCAGAGAGTACCCCAATCCCTTGGTTATCTTGCAGAGGCGGCTCAGGGCATCGTTTCCCAAGCACACACCTGCAGGGCCGGGCGGCTTCTCCCTTTTTCCCTCCTGTCCTCAGGGATGGACCAAAGTCCCGCCGGCGCACTGTTACCCCGAGGGCCACCTGGCTCCCGCAGAGGTGAAGCCGGCGCGCACTCCGCCGTCCCAGCTCCCGGAGCCACGCAGCGGAGGCAGCGCGCAGCTGGACACCGGCACCGCCAAGAGGCGCATTACAGTAAAACTTGGGGAAGCAAGTCTACACTCGCGCTGACGCGGAGGCACAGCCCCTGACGCGGTCTCGGGGACCGTCGGCCCGTCCCGCCCCTCCTCGCGGCAGAAGGGCAGCAGTCCATACCTGTCCTCCGAGACGCTGATGACGCCCTCCTCTTTGGGCACGATCACGGCCATATTCACCACCTCCTGGGACCCCTCCATCCGCTGCAGCAGGATCGGCTTGCGGGTCAGAGGCTTGGGCTGGATCTCCGCCGCCATCGGAGGAGGGGGCGCGCCTGGGGCGCCGCCGCCAATCGCGCCGCGGGGCCGGGCTGAGGAGACTGCTGGGACACGGACACAGGTTGAGACAGAGACTCTGGCTGGCCGGAGCGGAACGCCGGAAACCGGCGAGCATAGCCTGGCCTCCTCTCTCGGGAACGACTCCGCGCTCCCTGCTTCAGGCACCAAAACCGCCACGACCGGGATGCAAGCCGGCGCCACTACCAGAGAAGGGGGCGGAGAGCCTGAGGGGCGGAGCCTTGTGGGCGGGGCCTGCCGCAGGGGGGTGGCCGCTGGTGGGCGCGAGGGCGGGTCCACTTCCGGGAGGGTGGTGAAGGAGGAGGGGAAACCTGGAGCAGGAGGCGGGGATCTGGTGACCCAATGCGCGTGCGTCAGTCCCCCTCGCCCATTTTCCCCCCCTCCCCTCCGCGGCTCCCCGGGCGCTGCAGCACCACTAGGACGCATGCGCTTTCCGTTCCCCGCGGTCTTCTCTCTGCCTCCCACACCCAAAGTTTAGTCCCCTCCCTCTTTAACCTCCCGTGAACGCGCGTATACACACCCCTGGGGACGCGGTTGCCGGAGGCCACGCCCCTTCAAAATTCCCTGAAAAGAGGGCGGAGGCGGGGCGGGGAAAGGAGGGCCTCAGCAAGACCGGAAAGAGAAGAGGCCTGCAGGAAGGAGAGCAGCCCAATTAGTTGGGACGTGACTGGGCATGCGCGCGGGGTACCTGGCCTAGCGGTCTTAACAATGAAGCGCGGCGGGAGGCCGCTTACAGCTCCCAACATGCACCAGGCCCAAGCTGCCGGATGGCACCCAGTGGCCTCCTGGGAGTCGTAGTTTCTTGGAGCCTCCGCCCCCTTGTCCTGGAATGACCTATCGCCCACTTCTCTAGGCTGTGGGCCTGGGGAGCTCTGCGGCCTCCAGGGCCATTGGCCAAGTCAGGACCCGGACTTGCCTCTATGGGAACTGAGGAGCAGCCCCCGGCTGAGCAGGACGTCACCACTCCTAGGATCAGGCTGATGCTCGGAATAGTGGCACGGAAGGGACATGGAAAGGAGAGAATCTTTCATACAGATATCTTCAAGGGAGCTCAGAGATCATCTGTGGTGTCTATTGCCTCGTTTTCTTAGATGGCTAAATTACTCAGCCAAGGTTACTTTAGTGCAAAGTTAGGGCTAAACAACCCCTCCTTCCTTCCAGACTTGAACCCAGTCCCCTAGTGCTGGCTTCTTTCCATTTCCCCAGCAATCCAGCCTTTTTAGCTTGCTCCAAACACAATGGACAGAGTTAACTGTAGTTACTGAATGAATGTTAGGTACCTACCACAAGGCCTGGCATGTGGGGTTGATCGTGAAGACTAAGCTCCGATTTTTTGTCTTGCCCAAATTCCTATCTAAGAGGTCTGGGGAGTCATGGCCTACAAAAACCATAAATTCTCATCAGATGGGTTTTGACCGTGTATATCATGACTTACTTTCCAATCGGACTCTGGGATAACAAGGAAGAAAATCAAAATGTTTCACCCCAAATGATATTTCATTGCCATACCTTAAAATTGCCCTGCAAAGTCTCTTGTGGGAAAAATCCACGTTCTATATCCCCTTTCCCCTTTGTTTTCCTTCCTTCCCACACCCGGGAGATAACCAACTAAGAACCAGGCACCCTTTTAATCTGGTAAGGAACATTTTACAACCTGCTCTCTCTAAACACTGCTATCTAAAAGATTCCTCTGCACAATAAAACTTGGTCCACAATCCTTTACCTTAACCTGAACATTCCTTTCCATTGATCCCAGGTTTTCAGATAAACTCAACCAATTGTCAACCAAAAGATGATTAAATGTACCTATAGCCTTGAAGCCCCCGCATTAAGTTGTCCCGCTTTTCTGAACCAAACCAATGTATTTCTTAAATGTATTTGATTGATGTTTCATGCCTTCTTAAAATATATAAAACTAAGCTGTACCGCGACCACCTTGGACACATGTTCTCAGGACCTCCTAAGGGCTGTGTCACGGGCCATGGTCACTCATATTTGGCTCAGAATAAATCTCTTAAAATATTTTACAAAGTTTAACTCTTTTCATCAATAGTCATTATGTGATAACCTCCACTGAGCAATCCCACAATTAAGTTAGCTAAAGAGTAGTCATGGTCTATGTGGTGTGATTGAGTTGCAGGGCTCTGGAAGTGAGAGAGAAATAATGCCATAGCTAGGAAAAGAAAGGGACAGGCCTTGTGGAAATGCATGTCTAAGGTAGGTGTTTGACAGCTCAGGGATCTCACAGATCACTAGAGACATAAGAGAACAGGTGTAAAGAACCTGTCTCACAGCACACAGGGCAACTCTTTACCACCTTCCGTTTTGCAGAAATTCTGTAAGAACCTTGAAATAGGCTTGAGGTATTTTCCAGCTGTAGGACCTACTGCAGGCATTTCACTTCTCTGAGTCTCAGGTTCCACATCTATTTAAATAGGGCATAACACCTACATCGGGTGGTTCTGGTGGCAATTACAGTTATGACCCAGATACCTTCCCCTATCCTCTTAAAGTTACAAAGGAGGTAGCACCTGCTGCCCCCACCCCAGGCTTCATGGGAATTAGAACCTGAATAGCATCACCATAAACCTGAGTCTGACCCTCAATTCCAAAGAGCCAGAATCTCTATCTTGTCATTCATTCAAGAAATATTTAATAACTACTAGTGATAGGCAGGGAGAACACAGATTTGAATGCAAACCTCTCAATTCTCAAGAATCTCACAGATCATTAGAGACAGATAAGAGAACGGGTCATGACAGGGAAGTGATGATGGCAAGAGTTATAATGGGGGACTCAGGAAGATGGGGTAACACAGGAGAAATACCTAACAGGACCTGCAGTGGAGAGGGTTGGGCAGGAAAAGCTGCATAGAGGAGGTAGAGACTAGACAGAGTCTTGAAGGGTGAGCAGATGTAGTCTGGTTACATGAGCTCAAAGAGTATTCGGGAGAGGGGTGAGTAAAGTGGGGGCAGTCCTCGCATGCTTGTTAGGGAAGTGAAAGGCTTATGAAGAGAGAGGTGAAGGTGAAGACATCAGAGGAGCTGAGTATGGACCATGGCCTGACGCACCTTGTTCTTGGTTGGAAGGGATGCACCCTGGGCACCTGCCACATCATCCTTAGGTAGGATGGGTACTCAAACTATCAATTACTATCAATGTGGCAGCTGCTACAATGGAAGTGCTATGAAGTTCAGTGAGAACTGGAGACCCTCACCTGTGTCTGGCTGTTAAATCAGGGAAAGTTTTCTGGAGAAGAAAGAGCTCATCTTGAGTTTGGAACTAGTAAATCCAGACAGAGGAAACAGCATGTGCAAGAGGTGAGAAGTTGGGAGAATTGCGTCGTCTCTTCTGGGAACCTCTAGTAGCTGGAGGGCAAAGTTTGAGGAGGGAGGAAGGTCAAGATATTGGACTGGAAATATGGACAGGTGTGGACAAGGTCCTTGTTTAGGAACTTGAGTTTTAACCTTTATGTGATGGAGAACTATTGTGTCCTCAGAGCACGTCTCTGCTGTGACCAGCACAAGTTCAAGCTCCTGGAATAATACAAGAGACATTTACTGCTCTTGGAGGTCATCGCTGGAAGGGGAAAAGGAAGAGAGCTGGTGACTGTAGAAATTCACTGTGAGCCACGTACTCCAGCACTCTATCCTCATAATTGTGTAATTACAATTGTATTATAATTGTCAGAACCCTTGGTTGCAGGTAACAAAAACACAACTGGCTGAAAACTGAAAGGCATAGGTTATTGTTGGCTTATGCCATAGAAAGTCAGAGAGGCAAAGTGCCTTTCTTGCAGTCACACAGTTATAACAGATGACAGCGGTTACACACACCCAAGTCTGTCTGTCTCCTTCGCCTCCAGGTTCATTTATTCAAATATTCCCACCCCATTGATTCTTTGGCTTCCTAGGAGACTTCTGATTCACTGACCATTGCACTTTTTCACTGTCCAAGGTAGTCATAAGATTACATGTTATTATATGTAATAAGCTAAAACCAGTGCCTGCCACCCAGTAACCACCATGTAGGGTTTGCCATTATATTATTATTATCCGTTATCCCCCTCATGTTCTCACTTCCCTCCTTTCACTACTTAATTCCCATTGCCCATTATCCTAGCAGTCTCTTGCAAACACCCATAGCATCCTTGCCTCTCTTTCATACTTGGCAGGCAAAACCCCAATCCTGACCAATCCAACTTTTCACTTGCTTCATATCTGCTTTGAACTTGGCAGGAGAAAATTGCACAAACCTTCCGATTGGTCTCACTCTAGACTCACAACTCTAGGTCTCTGGTAATTCTCTTATCTCTCTTTAATTAGAAAGTTGGCCAGGCGCGGTGGCTCACGCCTGTAATCCCAGCACTTTGGGAGGCTGAGGCAGGTGGATCACTTGAGGTTAGGAGTTTGAGACCAGCCTGGCCAACATGGTGAAACCCCGTCTTGACTAAAAATACAAAACTTAGCTGGGTGTGATGGTACATGCCTGTAATCCCAGCTACTTGGGAGGCTGAGGCAGGAGAATTGCTTGAACCCAGGAGGCAGAGGTTGCAGTGAGCCGAAATCGCACCACTGCACTCCAGCCTGGGTGACAGAGCAAGACTCTGTCTTAGAAAAAAGAAGGAAGGAAGGAAGGAAGGAAGGAAGGAAGGAAGGAAGGAAGGAAGGAAGGAAGGAAGGAAGGAAGGAAAGGAAGGAGGAAGGAAGAAGCAATCAGAAGCTGTCTCATCTTCATGTCATCAGATCTATCATCCTGCCTGCAATCTGTACCCATATTCTTCCATACTCTCTGCCTTTCTTCTGTAACAATGGA